TTAAAAGCTTCAAAAACTTAAATTCTTTAAATCTCGAACTATTGCAATCTGAAAATCTTAAATTCATAAACAAGTAAAATATAATAAATTCCTTCAATCCGGGCTATATCCTAAATTCCTTAAACTCTTAATCTTGAAATTTTGAAGTCTTGACATCTTAAGATCTTAAAATCTTAAATTCCGAAAGTCGCCAAATCTGAAAATCTCGCCAAAAATAAAATCTTAAAGCCTTCGAAATCTGATAATGGATGGAAAATGGCTGGGCAATGGCCTGGCTGTTATAACCTTCAAACACCTTAAGTCTTTGAATCTTAAAACCTTAATTCCTAAACCATTGAAGCCTTAAATTCCAAAAGTCTTCAAATCTGAGACCCTTAGAATCTCAAAGTGTTTAGAATTGTTTAATCTTAACATCTACTCATCGGACTTACCGGAAAGGGAAGTGACAGAACGGGCAGGGCAAGGTGCCCGGTGGCCGGCTGTGTCGCGTCAGCGTGTAAATAATCACTATTTGGATCCTCGCTATTTTGAGGTGCCCAAATCACTATTTGATGACCATCTGATCACTATTTTCTTGCTTTTTTTTGTCAACTATTGCAAGTGAATCACTTTTTTCTTGCTTTTCAGTTTGCTCTTAATTTTCCGATTGCTATTTTCTTGCTCCAACCCTCACTCCCAAATCACTAAATAAATTATTTTAACCTCCCTCAACGGTTGGCTGGACGAAAACTCTCAACTTTTCGGGCTTTCGGGACTTGGAAAACCGTTTTTCAACCAAGCAAACCATCATTCCAACTTGAGAGGCGAGCCGTTTATCCTTTTCCACCGTAAAAAAAAAACATTGGCTAATTTGTTTGGCGTTTATAGAAATCCAAACTTGGGGGGTCGTTTTCCATGGATGTTTGCAAAACCAATTAAAGAAACATCCCAGAGAGTAGTGATTTGGGGGCAAAACCCTGTTTCAAATGATGCGAGCTCCTGCTTGCCTGCTAGCCAGGTTTGGGAAGCTTGGTTTCAACTGGCACCCTTTGAACAGGGTTCAACAACCCATGGCTTCAACCAGGGGCTTGCCCCCCTGGCCGCACTAAGCACCTTGCAAAGGCATCCTCCTCCTCTCGCCCGCGCTTCCGTGGCGCTTCTCCGTCTTGCGCTTGGAGGCTGCGGATGTAGCCCGTGACCTGCATGCATTGCCGAAAGTTGAAGCATAAAAACATGAGCGCGATCGTGAAATATCATGAACTGATTTGGCTTTGAAGCACCCCACGACCAGATTCTAACTACTTAGGCCGTCCCATTTGGGTGACCCCAAATGGGCTCGAACGAGTGGATGCTACATGGGGTTTCCTACCTGCCCGTTTGGACAAAAAGTATGGATGCGGCGCGAACAGGAGCACTTTTTCCATCCAGGCCCGAACCAATGGAAAGTCGCAAAACTCAGAGGGCTTGGTAGGGACACAGGGTCAACCACCGGAAGAATCAACCAACATTTCCACCAATTTCATCATTTCTTCCAAAACTTTCAACCAAATCGAATTGCCCAACCAAGCCCATGGCACCAAAAGCTATGGACACCACGTTCGATCTGAGCTGATGGCCTGGCGGGAGTAGTCTGCCTGGCAACTGGTGGCTCGGGAGGTTCGCGTCAAGCCCGTAAAAGGCCGCAATGTCGTCCCCTGTTGGTTGGCGCCGGCTGCCCTGCTATGTTGGTTGGCGCCGGCTGCCCTGGCTGTGTTACGCTGTCCCACTTGGCTTCAATCCCAAGATTCGGACGCCGGGGCCCGAAGAGGCGTCCCAAGCGAGGAGCCCCAATGTCACCAGCCTCATCCTTGTTGCGCGGGTCAAAGGTGTCCACGACCTAGATGGCTACAATGGCGTATGTAGGCAGCTGAAACTAGGTAGTTGAAACTACGTAGTTGAAACTACGTAGTTGACTACAATGGCTCAGAAAACGTTGATGAAGCTAAGTAGTTGAACCACATGCTAAAACGGCCTTATTTGGCTATGGGTTGCTGCGGAGCTCCAGTGGCACCGCCGACTTGCCTAGAGCAAACCCGACCAAGACGCAGGCCTTCTTCTGGACATGCAGGGGGCACAGCGACAGCAGCGAAACAGCGCGATCGTCCATGGGGTACTTCTGCCAGAACCTCGGCTGGGGTCCCGGACGCCCAATAAAACCAAATTTCCGTAGAGGGACAGGGACAAAACCAGTGAGGGCTTTCCACTACCATCTGTGATTATCTATGATGTTTTGATTCGGAACCCCCTTCTCTCTCTCTCTCTCTCTCTCTCTCTCTCTCTCTCTCTCTCTCTCTCTCTCTCTCTCTCTTTCTCTGCCGTTGCATCCAAAAGGTCTCACTTGGTGGACATCATTCAGGTACATTTACTTTGAAATTCATGTCCACCACATTGGCGGTGATTCCAACCCATAAAATTCACAGCCATCTTGGCACCAGGACCTGCGCAGCTCCTCCTGCATATCCCCCTCCATATCCCCCTGCAGATACTTGAGCTGACACACACACACACACAAACACAAACACAAACACAAACACGAACACACTCACACTCACAAACACAAACACAAACACAAATGCACACGCACACGCACACGCACGCACACGCACACGCACACGCACACGCACACGCACACGCACACGCACACGCACACACACACACACACACACACACACACACACACACACACACACACACACACACACACACACACACACACACACACACACACACACACACACACACACACACACGCGTGTGTGTCATGCTTTTGTGCGACCCCCTATTGGTTAAAAGGGAAACGTCGTTGGGCCTCTGCTCAAGGGAAACCAGGAGGAAACCAACCATTTGGGGCTCACCCGATTTTGGGACAACCAGGGCCCCTTTGAGGAAATCAACCAATCCCGGGTTTAAGCCCACCTTGGGGTGATAAACAAGATGAAACCACCCTCCCGAAGAGTGCTGCAAAGTGGTGCTGTAAGCTTTTCACAGCCCGGTCTGCCTCGTCGGCGTCATTGTCCAGGACGATGTCCACACCCTCAAGCCTCGGGTGAAGCAAGCAACTTTGGAATGAAGCTGTGGAACGAAGCCATCGCGGTGAGCAAGCCAAACCACAGGCACGGCATGGGTTCAAACTGTCCTTTTCATGCTGTGCTGCCTGTATCGTGTGGCAGCTTCATGCTGGTGCATGATTGTTGGGAAAAAGCGCCGCGTCGCACTCACAGTCAGAAGCTCAATAGTAGGTGCCGTCGTCCTTGCCCTGAGCATCCAGCAGGCCCTTCCAGTAATTCGCTTCGTAGGCCTTCTTGGCATTGGTGTCCACGAGAACCTCAACCTCCCCACTGCCCAGGAAGCCACCCTGGCGGCACTCGAAGACCAGGAGGTTCTTCTTCTCCACAATGAGTCCAGTCAGAGGGCCGATCACGGGAGGGGACACGCACCAGTCAATGAGCTGACCGTCGGAGACCTGGAAGGAAGAGCCATGCAGGGGGCAGACAATGACATCACCGATCACGTCAGCACCCTCGCTCATGGGCGTGCCAATGTGCGGGCACAGGTTGCCCACGCAGAACAAAGCACCAGCTTCCGTCTTGCCAATCAGCACATCGTTGCCCGCCAGGGTCAGAGCCCTCAACTCGGTGGGCTGCAACTCCGAAGCCTTCACGCCAGTCTTGATCCAGGCGAGCGAAGGCAGAATGGTCTGGGTGGTGTACTTGGCAGCCGTCTTGGCCGGGCGGCTGCGGGTCTTGGCGAAGGCAGCCGCCACACCAAAGGCAGCTGTTGTTGCCGCAACGCCTGCAATGCTCAGGCTGGGGGAGGGCTTGCTGCTGCCCTCAGTGGCACCTCGCAATCTGGCAGGCGCTGGGGCCCCGGGAAGCACGAACGCCTGAACCGCGCACACCAGCACCACGGCTGCTCCGGCAAGAACGAGGCGGGACGCCATTGGGGAAAACTCTCAAAGCAGCACGGGCTCGAGTCTCAAAAATGCCTTCCCAACATCACCTTGCAAAGGCCCGGGAATTGCCCTGCATCGGACCTCTAGGGCCCCCTGCAAGAACACCCAAAACAACCCAAAGGGCTATTTTAATTGGTGGCCCTAGTGTCCTATGGTTTGTCCTTAAGCCCCCTGGAAATTAACCTCAGCCACGTTAGAACCAAAAGTCGAGGGGCATGGGCACCTGGGTCTTCTGGCTTGCCCCTGAGCCCTGCTGAAGCCTTAAGCCCGCAGCATCCTGCGCTGGCATCGATGCCTTGGCCGGCATGATTGGGTTTCGACCCGAACAAAATATGCTTTCCGAGATGGTGTCCACCACCCCCAAACCGAAGCTACCGTAAACCAGAGGAAAAGTTGGAGATATGGTATGTGCCCTTTTAGTAGTGATTACGTAGTGCTTATATCCAATTCAACCCCCGGTAGTGATTTGGGGAGGCAGTGAAAACCATCTTAGGGCCTTTTCCTGTCCCTGCAAACATAGGGGGAACACACAGAAGAGTTGTTCCTTTTCCCTCAAGCTGAAGAAGGCACCCTGAAAAGGGTGCCCACTTCGATGGTGGCTCGATTGGGCTTGTCTCATGGGTAAAGTAAAGGTCAAGTGGGAGGTCTCCTTTTAGCTTCCCCCTGCAAATTGAAAAAACAAAAAACAAAAAAAGTACAACTCGAACAACAACGGTATCCATTTGGACGTGTGGCAATCCCGAAACTTGACATCGCTTTGCCCGGTGCCTCTCTCAGAAAGTACTCGCCATCAGGCCGCCCTGGCACCTTGCTTGGCCCCTGGTTTGCGGCTCAGATTGTGTGTTGCTCTTCTTCGGGTGCGGCGTCTTTGGGGTGGAACGGGTAACTTCAACTTGCTTTCCGCAGTGGTTAGCTGGAAGAAAGCATGCCATGTTCAAGCTTGATCCGAATGCTCAAAGTGCTGAGCTGAACTCCGTGCATCCCACTGGCATGCTACATACCAAGCACATGCAAGAGCGTGCTGCTCTTTCTGGCCCTCACCACTTGGCAGCATCATGCCGGTGCATGTCTATGGGAAAAAAACAAGCCGCGTCGCACTCACAGTCAGAAGCTCAATAGTAGGTGCCGTCGTCCTTGCCCTGAGCATCCAGCAGGCCCTTCCAGTAATTCGCTTCGTAGGCCTTCTTGGCATTGGTGTCCACGAGAACCTCAACCTCCCCACTGCCCAGGAAGCCACCCTGGCGGCACTCGAAGACCAGGAGGTTCTTCTTCTCCACAATGAGTCCAGTCAAAGGGCCGATCACGGGAGGGGACACGCACCAGTCAATGAGCTGACCGTCGGAGACCTGGAAGGAAGAGCCGTGCAGGGGGCAGACAATGACATCACCGATCACGTCAGCACCCTCGCTCATGGGCGTGCCAATGTGCGGGCACAGGTTGCCCACGCAGAACAAAGCACCAGCTTCCGTCTTGCCAATCAGCACATCGTTGCCCGCCAGGGTCAGAGCCCTCAACTCGGTGGGCTGCAACTCCGAAGCCTTCACGCCAGTCTTGATCCAGGCGAGCGAAGGCAGAATGGTCTGGGTGGTGTACTTGGCAGCCGTCTTGGCCGGGCGGCTGCGGGTCTTGGCGAAGGCAGCCGCCACACCAAAGGCAGCTGTTGTTGCCGCAACGCCTGCAATGCTCAGGCTGGGGGAGGGCTTGCTGCTGCCCTCAGTAGCACCTCGCAATCTGGCAGGCGCTGGGGCCCCGGGAAGCACGAACGCCTGAACCGCGCACACCAGCACCACGGCTGCTGCGGCAAGGACGAGGCGGGACGCCATTGGGGAAAACTCTCAAAGCAGCACAGGCTCGAGTCTCAAAAATGCCTTCGTGCAGGGACAGCCTCATTGCCACATTCATGCTTGGATTTCAGGGCACCATCTGATCTTGCCCCTGCATCTCCAGGGTCATACGCCCACATGACAAAAGACGCATTGAATATCAACACGAACGAGTGGACTCTTCCAAGTGAATGCTGGTTCTTCCACGGATTCTCGGGGGACAACCCTTCCTCCCGAGTGAAGGCTCTGGTATTGGCTGCTACCACCCAAACATGCTCAACTGACCTGACGAAGCAATGCAGAACCATCAAACACGCTGGTTGGCTCTCTTTCAACTTGACGCGAGGCGATTGCATGCCTATCTTGGGAAAAAGCGCCGCGTCGCACTCACAGTCAGAAGCTCAATAGTAGGTGCCGTCGTCCTTGCCCTGAGCATCCAGCAGGCCCTTCCAGTAATTCGCTTCGTAGGCCTTCTTGGCATTGGTGTCCACGAGAACCTCAACCTCCCCACTGCCCAGGAAGCCACCCTGGCGGCACTCGAAGACCAGGAGGTTCTTCTTCTCCACAATGAGTCCAGTCAAAGGGCCGATCACGGGAGGGGACACGCACCAGTCAATGAGCTGACCGTCGGAGACCTGGAAGGAAGAGCCGTGCAGGGGGCAGACAATGACATCACCGATCACGTCAGCACCCTCGCTCATGGGCGTGCCAATGTGCGGGCACAGGTTGCCCACGCAGAACAAAGCACCAGCTTCCGTCTTGCCAATCAGCACATCGTTGCCCGCCAGGGTCAGAGCCCTCAACTCGGTGGGCTGCAACTCCGAAGCCTTCACGCCAGTCTTGATCCAGGCGAGCGAAGGCAGAATGGTCTGGGTGGTGTACTTGGCAGCCGTCTTGGCCGGGCGGCTGCGGGTCTTGGCGAAGGCAGCCGCCACACCAAAGGCAGCTGTTGTTGCCGCAACGCCTGCAATGCTCAGGCTGGGGGAGGGCTTGCTGCTGCCCTCAGTGGCACCTCGCAATCTGGCAGGCGCTGGGGCCCCGGGAAGCACGAACGCCTGAACCGCGCACACCAGCACCACGGCTGCTGCGGCAAGGACGAGGCGGGACGCCATTGGGGAAAACTCTCAAAGCAGCAGGCTCGAGTCTCAAAAATGCCTTCAGCCCCATTTCGCCCTCTGGCCACATTCCGACCAGACCCTGCATTTCTCTCTTTGTGCTTTGGGCTGCGTCGGTGCGTTTGCACTTTTCGCTCGCTTTGGACGTGCCGCAAGCTAGAAGTCGGCATCTCCGTCTCCTGGCCATTCCGCTCAGGTCTGCACATGCAAGGCTGCTGAAGCTTCCCATCTACCCTCAAAAAGAATCAGGGGTTCGAATCCCCAAGCCACCTATCCAAACCAACAACTAAGGAGTACCTAAATGTAGTGACAAGGCTCAGATTTATTTTTGAAAAAAGAAGAAGAACGGAACGGGACTCTTGTTTTTGCGCGGCCTCCAGCATCCTCGAAGTCGTTGCCCATGCCATCTTCAAAGTCATGGTATCCTGCCAGGCCCCGTGCATGGGGCAGTGAAGAAACCCTTCTTTCGAAGGGCCCAAAAATCACCTGGGAAACGAGCTGTGCTGGTTCGGCGGTGGGGTCAGTGGTGCTCCCATAGGAAACGCCAAGCAACTGCAGCCACATGCCCAGACCTGCCAAGTCGTCGTCATCGCCAAAGATCTCGTCATCCACATCATCATCCTTCCGGAGCTCTACGCGCTGGAAGCGCAAGAAACCAAAATAAGCCCCACACATGAAAAAGGGGTGCAGGCGGATCGCTGAGCACAAACACAAACACTTGGAGTTTCATTCGCACTGCGGGACCCTGGGGTTCCTCAAAGGATACATCCAACACGGGGATCCTCAAATTCAGGCAAAAGGTGATGTGTCGACTGGCCCAAATCCACCCTTCTAAGGGACCCCCAGCCTCCATGTGGCCCTCCCCGTCGCTATCCTGAGCAGGGCCAGCCTACATCCAGCCAACCCGCAAAAATTGCTCCTACAATGGCCTGTCTGTCTACACTGGGGTCCTGGACAAAAAGGCTTTTTCCCCAACAGCTGAAAGCTTTGGGGTCTCAGCCCAGATAGGGCTCCGGGGTGGTCCGGGGCGGCCCGCAGGTATGGTTCCACGAAAGTTCCACCAGGGGGGTGGTGCGAGCGCAAAAAAGTGTCACCGCATGCTGTTGGGGATGTCACCTGAGCTTATTTGTTATTCCTCTGTAGAACGGACGCACCCAGTGGGTCGGGCTCCAAGAGGGCCGCCAAATGCGCGTCTTTTGGCTTCACTTGCACACACCCCAAAAGGCCAGCCTCATACAAGGTGGTCCTTAAACAAGGTATAAAGCCACATGGAACAGAGCATGCTGTGCACATGGTGGGTCCTTCTTCGCCACAGGCTTCTTGTCTGGGTCCGTACCTTCTTTTCCTTCCATCCTGGCAGCGTGAGGCGGCAGGCGTCGTCCAAATCCACACATCGTCGACTGGCAGGCAACTGGCGACTGGCGACTGGCGACTGGCGACTGGCGACTGGCGACTGGCGACTGGCGACTGGTGACTGGCGACTGGTGACTGGCGACTGGCAAGCGCAGGTTTTCCAAGCATTTGCCAGCATCAAGTCAGTGATCCGCGCACAGCCCACAGGAGGTCAGGGCTGCCAGTCAAGTAAATACAAAGTGCTCGCGCCGGTGGCTTCCAAAGATGGAATGAATCTGAACAGTTGCACATGCCGGCTTGCAAAGAATTCATGGCCCAAACATGTGAAGGGGGTCTCCTCTTGCTTGTGCATTGCACGGTCTCTGCTGCAAAGCCTTGCCAGCCTGCTTAGCAGACTGCCCAATTGCCAGTCCTTTGGCAGTTGTGAAGTACCCTACCTACGGCAACAGTTGAGTGATAGCTGCAAGCGTCAAATTCTATATTTACACTTCCGGCAATCCCTGAGTTGTTTCTGGGATGCCGTCCAGCACGAGCTAAGGTTCTTCTACTTGCAGGGTTCTTAGTCGAAGCCCGATTCTTCCTTGCACCCCACAAAAGACTGCAAGGAAATGAACGGGCATGAGACCTCATCTGCAGAACTCCCTTTGGAGAGCAAAGGAGCTTTGTTGCTCTCAAGTTCTCCGGAGCAGAGATTTGGATGCAAAGTGAATTTCATGCACTTTGAGAGTGGCCAAGTTTGCCACTTTGCCGTGGCTTCTACTTCTGGGCGCACTCCAAAACCTTTGGCCCGATGACCTTTGGCTGGTCAGAGCCTGTCTCACCAGGAACGCCTCAGGCTGGCAAAAGCATGCCCCCCCCCCTCTCGGACGTTCAAAGCCCTTGCTTTCAACGAGGCAAACGTCACCTGGGTGCAGGGTGCTGCTTGTTTCGCCCAGCCAACGACTCCGGGGCAGGGGCCAAAGCTGCGCAAGAGCGTGATGATCTCGTGATCCACCATCGCAATACCAGCCTCCCGTTGCTCGGCTCGGGCCGCGGCCAAGCTGGTGCTTGCGGGGAGTGGCCCCCAAGCCAGTGATGCCAAAGCGGGAGTCTCACCCCAATGACTTGATCATTTCAAAGGGGACCTCCCTTTGCCACTCGAAAACATTGCCTTCCTCAAAGCCAACAATTCTCCACCGCCATGCCCGCAAGGCGTCCATCTCCCAGCCCCTCACAACGGAGCCTCCGCGGCGAGATCCTTGAGGTGGTCGGGATGGATGCCAGCCGGGTCTTGCCTTAGGTGGGCCAGAAACCCCTAGATACATCAATAGCTAGAGCGAGAGAGCGAGGAGAGAGAGGCGTGTTGTGTTTGTGCATAAATGTATGTGTGGACATATGTGCACATAGATATAGGTATTGATGTAGATATAGATATAGAGATAGAGATAGAGACATATGTATCCATGCGTGTGCAGTTGTCGCTGTATGCATTGAAACGCAAATATTAATGGGTTGTATGGTGCATATGTGTCTGTAAATTTAGAGATGTTGACACATTTATGAACGCGTCTGTCTGCACTTTCAAGAAGCAAGAATAAGTAGAGATACAAGCAGCAGCCGTTGCACAGGTCTGGGAACACATCAGTTTAATCTCACCCTAACTACCCCTAATTGGTGGTTTGGAGCCCGGTGGTTTGGTGGTGTTTCGGGTTCCCCACTAGCCAGCACAACATGAGCAACGTTTTGCGCGGGCCTTCCGCCACAGCGGAGATTCCGTAGCCTCTGAGGCAACATTTGTTGGAACAGCGGGTTGGGTTCCCCAGTCGAACCCAACCCCAGGGTTTGGGGGGGGGGTTGCCTTCGCGAAGGAAATTCATGTTTGTCCCTTTGTTGCTGCAGTACCCTCATTCAGGCGAAACCCCATGGAAGCCCCCAGCCCTAAGCAAATCTTAAAGGGTCCTGGCAGCTTCCATGGGGCACTTTCGCCCGAGGGAAAGTTCAGCCAACAGCCCAACAGCGCAGAAGAGCCCTTCGTCCGGGCAAGCGTCATCTCCGCGGTGTCTGCCAAAGGCAGCAGACGCTTGGAGCAGGCGACAGGATCTGCGTAGGGGAACTCCTCTGGCCGAGCCTGGCGTAAAGGATCCCTTGAAGCATCACCATCCCCCCTACCACAAGGGGACGGGGGTGGGGGATCCCCAATTCCATTTATCTAGTCCGCATAAACCATGAAAGGGATCTCCCCTTGAACCACTTGAACCATCACCCTTGCCCCTCCAAATGAAAGTGCCGTTTTCCTTTTGAATGGAACAGCCCCGTATTCAGCAACCAGGGGTTGATTTCAGCTTCCCATGAACTGGTGGTTTGAAGCCCAGTGGTTTGGTGGAGAAGCCACAGGAAACACGGGTTCAGGTCCCGAACCACCAACCCCCAAACCACCAACTAAGGGGAACCTGACCTGCAGTGGCTCAACCTGGCTGTTAAGGGGCTTCATTGTAGCTTTAAGTTGGTTTAGCCTGGATGGTTGGATATTTTTCGCTGGGTTGTGGTGGTCGCATAATAGGATATCAAGCTTGGCTGCAAAACTTAGGCATCCAGACCTCCGCCTTACAAAAACAATATGAAGGAGGCCGCTTGAACAATTACAACGGGACCCCCACCACCCCCCCACCCCCCAACCCCCTGACTGCTTCTTGGTAGCAGAGGTTCCCTAGATTTGCCCGAGAGCAAACGACCGACCCCGAGGGAAACTGACCAGAAAGGGCCCAAAAGGCGATGCTCAAAACCGCACAAGATGGGAAGATACAGAAGTTCGAGCATGTGGCCTTTCTTTTGTTTCGGGCTGGCTTAAAGCGAAACACGCTGAAAGCCACCTTTTGGGAGTGCCCCTGTGTTTAGACATGTCTCAAAATGAGTTTTGGACCCCCAAACTAGATAGTTTCCTCCTGGGCGTCTCGTTACAAACAATGCTTCAAGTGCATGAATCGTCGCCTCCAGGAATTGCAAGCAGCGCTCATCTGCTCGGATGATCTGCCTCAAGTCCATCCATTCCAAACACGTGATCTTAAGGAGGAAGTGAGCGCGGGACAGAGGCTGAGCTGCGAGAGTAATAACTTGGCCAACGAAAAGGTCAGCCAGCTTGAAGTGCTCACCTCAGCCCAAGCTGTCAGTATCTAGCACGCACCATGAGAAATGGATATGCGGACCCGCGCATCCTGCCCTGGGGAAAATCGGGGGGTTGCTTTTGGGCAAGTGGGGAAATTGCGAAAACGATAAAATCTGCAGATCTGCAATGCGTCAGGGCAAAGATGTTTGGAATAATGTTGACCCTATATTAATCAACCCCAGCTTATTCATATGGTGACGTCCCTGGGTTCAGTCAAGAATCATCACTTTTGGAGGGGAACACCCCCATAATAATAGACTGGCGTTGATTAATATGGGGTCAACATTACAGCGACCCGGCGTCCAGCCTGTGGCGGGATTCTTGGTCATCCGCTTCTCCGAAAATCTGCCTCCCATGTGGCCGCTGTTGCGCACCGGCACCTGACATGCGCAAGCGTCGGCGCGCTTGCAAGCGCAATATGAGAACCTCCGCCCAGAATTCATGTGTTCACCCGTGTTAACTGGTGGATCTGCCCTGACACCCCCCAGCCTCCCTTTTCCTAGGGCAAAGGAAGACGGGGGACCGAGGAACACAAATCAGGCAGCCCAGCGCACAGGACGGACCCGCGATCGAGTCCGAGTCAAAAGGCGCCTCGAAGGCCGAGAGCTCACCATCTGCCGGGTAGAAGGAGATGCACAACCTCCGCAGCTCGTCCTCTGGCTCGCCGTTGATCATCTTGCATTCGAAGCCTCGGCCCAGATTTGGGCGACGAAATGTTCTCTGCAAGATGTGGAAGTTTAAGACGTCCTGTAGAAATACATATCCATGCGCACTTCCTCCGGTCCACTAACATGGAACCTGCCATGGGTCCCTTCTAAAGGGAAATAGCCTTCCGGGACACTTGAGTCCAGTGGACAGCAGAGATGCACAGTCCGTGTTACATGCTTACATTGGTTGGCTGCATCGCTAACTTTCTGCCATGGAGCGCAAAGCCTCGCTGCCGTGCACCAGCATTCGCTCCAGGTCAATCTCAGGCAGGCAACTTCAGCGTTTGGTTGTTCAAATTAAAGGGATCCCCGATCCAAATTCGTAACCCGTACTGAGACACCGCAGCAAACCACTACCATCTGGCAGGATTAAGGAGATGTTGAAAGCCAAGTGTTGCATGTCCTGGCCCTGCTGTGAATGGACGAGATCCTGCACCACCTAAGAAACCCTAGAGTGATAATGGCGCGAAATGGATTTTGTCCATCCACAATATGGCTCTCAAAAGAGGCAACTCGCCCACCTTGGGCGGCTTCGGCTGGATCATGGTGCAGTTGAGCAAGGAGTCTTCTTCCTGTTGCTTCTGGCAACGGCGGGCCGCTTGCGGCCACGGGCAAAATATGCAGTGCCCCAGTCGACAGGGGGAAAATGAGTGTGGTTCCCCACAGTTTTGGTGGAACATTTCCATGAGGACCCGAGGACCCCCCATGTCCCGACCCCAATTGGACCCATGGGCTGCTGGACATGGGCGTGTAACCAGCATGAACCAACCATGAACCACCCATGAACCTCCATTAAACCAAACCCCCCCTTCGTCCACCAGGTCAGGTTGATAAACCCACTGGGCCCATAGAAAGCCCACTGGATCTGGATCCTTGCCAACGCCGGTGTGGGGCGGTGGCAGCAGCTTGGTGTGCGTCAGCGGCTTCTCGCTGACGTCGATGCGGCCCTCGAACTGGTCCAGGCCTGCGCCGGAAAGCCGAAAAAGCCGGCTCCTGGCTGGGCCCATGGATCTGACATCCTCAAAGCCCCAACAGTAATTTCGGGAACCCCTCCAAAGGTAGGTCAAAATGCAAAACCGGGGTGCCATGGTGCATCTATGTCGAAGCTCCCTGGGGGATCCAGGATCACCTTGTAATACTCAACTGCAATCAACATGGCCCTCGCCTAGGTAGTCCTGGTAGAAGGTTCTGGTAAAGTCGTCGCAATCATAGAGCACTACCTGGCAGCCAAGCCCCAACACGTGTCGGAACACTTTTGCTTGGCGTGCTGCAAGGTGCAACACACTGGCATCGGAATCTGTGCAACTCAGGTCTCGGCATTCCTACCCCAAACGTTGATGGATGAACCGACCTGGCGGCAACGGGCGCAATTGTTCTGCATCCAAGCAAGCGCCGCTGCCACCGCATGCGCTGTCCAGCCTTTAGGTCTTCAGGCAGGTACCGCGGGGCTTCAGCGGAGAGCATGCCAGGCACACCATTGACGAAGTTGCCTAGAGTAAAGCCAGGGTGGACAGACAACTCAACACAGTCAAGAAGCAGGTTGCAGGTGCCATGAAAGCAAGGCAGCCCAGGGGCTCTTATGAAGAGGCCCTCGCTTCATGAAGACCTCGATGCGACCCAATACAAAAGGACCGCTCACTTCAATGAAACCAGGGTCAACCGCCAAAGCTCAGATACTGGTGGCCCGACATGGCTCTCCGCAGCTTGGATCCCAACATCCGGACAGAAGTTTCGACGCGAGCCTCATTTACGCCTACCAAAGGCTCACGCCGAAGCACAATTCCCCAAGTCTGGGACTGGTGTTCTAAGGCTGGGCCGCTTTGTCACATGTTTGAGGCCCTTGCCCCTGCCCCCTTCTGGTTGCCGGAAACGCCAAACATCCGGCACCAGTCAGTCACGGCAGCCCGCCAAGGGCCGGGCGGGCCAAACCGCTCGGCCGGAGTTGCGGCAGAAAGACTGGCGTGTGCCCGGGCGCCGCGGGGGTTGAAAACTGAGCTGCGGAAGGGTCCAAATGAGCGTCCCTTTGCTTGGAGATACTCGCTTTGTATGTTCAGTTAAAGAATCCCCCTCCAAGAGGAGACCCTCATGGGGGCGGTGCCCATCCATTTCAGGGATCCAAATCCTATGTCGAGACCAAAAAATACAAATAAGCTGGCTGTCAAAATGCCACGGCCGCCTTTCGAAGAAGGGACCCCCATGTTCTCTTGTCACGAAAGAACGGGGGAATTAAATGGCCGTAGCAGGAAGAAAGAGAACTCGGGTCTTTGATATACTCAGCAAGTAACTTGTAGCCTTGGTTCTACGTGGAATGAGCAGGGGTCAGGCCCCTAACCATGGTAAGTCACTAAAGCAGGAGCACCCAAGAACCGGACTACGGCTCGTTCAGTTTGCTGACTCCATACCTCGTTGATCTCGCAGGTGTTATCCGCAAGGTAGTAGTGAAGGACCAGGTAGATTCCTAGCAATGATTCCCTCACGAAGATCGAGAAGCCGTGAGTGCTCGCATGCGTAAAACGCGAGAGCAAGCAACACAAAAAGGGAAATCGAAGACACAGTGGCGCATCGGGAATCGCTGGCTGTTCTGGCTTGGCCTAAGGCCCTATATTTCCTTTCAGAAGATGAACGAACACCCAAATCCGTGCAGATGGACAAGGAACACGGGATTTACATGTGCATATATGTATGCATGTGCATCCTCCAAAAAAAAAAAAACGTCTGTTTCTGGGGATCGGTTCATTTCATTCAGGACCAAGGCTCGCGCGCCATAGGGCGTGTGGTCGTCCCAATAGGCCTTGAAGCGCAGCACCTTGCGGTCGTTCAGCAGGAACTGGGCGAACTTCTTGTCCACGGGGGGGATGCCGCCAAGGGCCCGGAACAAGGCCTCGCCGCGTGGCGAAATTCGCTTCGACGGAGAGGCTTGGCAACTAGAGGTAACAAAGGTCCTCCTGCATCCCAGGAAGCTACAGGGAAGCCCAATTCCACTTGTCCCCCTCTCTCTCCATCTGTGAGCCCCACAACCCCCCCCCCCCCCCCACGGCTGCCTTGTCCGCCATGACGCCCTTGGTCAGAGGCATTCCTCCGTGATCTCTGGCCTTCCGAATCCGATAGTTCACCTGCCAAGTGTCCACGGGCATCGTCTCGTCCTGGCCCAGGGCGGGCGGCTCAAAAACAACTCTCAGCTGCACGGGAAAAATGGCACCGAGCATGGGGAACACTCACGTTTGCGGCGCCGCAGTAGTTTGGACATGCCGGTGTTCCTAGCACCAGGTGACTTTGATTCGGGAGGGGAGGAAGAGCCAGCAATGAGCATGAAAAGCGGCACGGGCTCTAAAAGCCTGCCTAAGAATCCTCGTTCTCTTCACCCAGCGTACTCTTCAGAAAGAACCGATTTCACCAGTGCCAGCGCACATGTTGTGCGGAAGAGAAAAAAGAGCTGACAAGCGGCATCTGCCAGCTCCAGGCCATTCTCTTCGAAGAACCAGCGTGTGTAACCTTGGAAAGGGTGCGACCCGACTTTGTGCGTCACCGTTTTGCCTCCTGGGACATCAACACAAAGGTCCACATGGGTCTTTCTTTTTGAGTGGGGCCTTTTCAGGTGTTCACGTAAATTTAAGGGCCACTGCAAAGAAACCGCCCACTTTGGGGGGCGGGCTCCCCCCCCTTTCGAAACAAAATGTAGCGAAAGCCCTGGTTGACCCAAAGGGGGGCAGTAAGCGATCCTTCACTTCGGCCAAAACTCTTCCGTGAATCCGCGGGGTTCTACTTTTCGGGGTCAAATGCAAGGAACGGTCGCAGCCGCAGATGTGGAAGGTGTGGCCCACAATGCATATCTCCTGCCCGATCTGGAAGTCGTCGGGGCCGAGCTGCATGCCATCCTCCTGTCAAGCCGTGCCGTGTGAAAAAAAAATGGGCTTAACAGGGTTCCTCAAATACATCCAAAGCCACACGTTTGTTCATGGGAATGCTAAGCTGGCAAATGTGATTCTTACTTAGCTGGCCAAAATGTGCCCTTTAAGGGACCCTGCTTCAAGAACCCCAGAGTCTGGTTGGTTCAACGAACGTGGCCCAACCATGGTTGAAACCGCCTCTTGCTCAAACAATCTTCTTTGGGTGTCCCTTTCAAGGCAACCCTAAACCACAATTTCGCTCAAACTACCTCCGTTGGTTTACCTTTAAAGGGGTGTAGAAACAATTGCCTTAGCCAGCCCAGCCCTGCTCCTTGATCACCTTCTGACGTTTCAGGAAGTTGCCCTGGGGCATGCCTGAGTTCTCCACCTTGGGCTCGTTGATGCCTCAGTCCAAACACAAATTTGTGAACCGCCCTTCTGCCGCCGCTGTCTTCGGACAATCCTGAGAAAAAGGGGTCACCTCAGAAAACAGCACTTATATATGCAAAAAAAACAAAACAGCCCGCCTACTGTGCCATCCTCCATGAAGTACATAATGTACACATGCCGGTACCTCGCGTTCTCGTCCGCCCGCTCGCTCACAGACTCCTGGAAGAAGCCGTACCACCTGCACAAAAATGCGACATCCGAAACAGTGTCTTTCTGAAAATTAGGGATCAACTCCTCCAGGCTTCCTTTGGTTCCCTTCGAGACCGACCCAATCGTCCTCTCAAAATTATGTTTAATGGCATGCCATCGGGCATGTGTGTCCTCTAAAAGGTGGTTTGATGAGATACCGCCAGGGTTGGTCGCAAACTATGCTAAACATCTTGGACAAGGGGATGGCACAACAGCGGAAACCGCCGAACCCCTCTTGTGTGGCCCGGTGCTGGCCCCGTACTTTGGACACATGACAGAGTGAAAGCATCCAAAAACCACCGGCTTTACATGGATTTGGATCCTCTAAATCAGCTAAAAATGCTTTTGTTACCTGGTCCAGATGCATCCTTTAATGGGCCCATAGCTTAACTCACCCTCCCACCAATTAACATGGAACCTGACGTTCGTGGAGTCCTGGTTTGGACCATTTTCCTTCTAAAGAGACCCCCGAACATCAGGTTTCATGTGCAGAAGGTGGGAGGGTAGGTTGAACACCTGGCAACAACAACCAAGAAACAACAACAAAAAACGGCTTAAAGCGCCTGAGCACCTGCTTCTCGTGCTTCAGCCATGCAGGGCTGAGCCTGGGCTGCCGCATGTTCCGCGGCACCAGGTCCTCCTCCTAACCCAAAGGCGCGAAGGGTTGGGCGCCTTTGGAAGCCCAGGAAGCCCAGGAACCTGACGTTGAGGCCCCTTTAAACAGGGCTCCCTATATGTCCCCTTAAAACATCACCCCCCACCAAGGGACACCCACCTTTCACGGGCCAAAAAGGTGATGTTTAAAACCAAAAAAAAAAAGGGGGAATATAGGGACCTCTGCTGAAAGGAGAATGGTCCATGGTGGGAGGGTACTTGGAATGGGTTCTACAGGGGAATGTTCAAAAACCACATTTCGCCATAATAAAAGTGACATATGTATGATTGCTTTGCCCTGCGCATTGCCCGTTTCGGGTGGTCTTAAAGGTCGGCCAAACCCAGACCACCCAAATTGCTTTGCCCGGGGGGGGGGGGGGGCGGCCACAACGAGCAGCGCCCATTGCATGAATCGGCCCAAACAATGACTTCTAAAGCCACCAGAATGGGTGTGGGTTGAAAATAGGGAACCCCCAAAAGGATTGGGTTCCCTTTGGTTTCCCTTTAAACCAAAAAAGGGCCCAAGTTCTACTCAAATCCTTGATTTATGTTAACCTCAAAAGGGACTCCCAATCAAAATCCACCCGAGTTTTATTAATGGGCTCGCCCGAAGACAAATTTCTCTCAACAACGGAACGCCACCCTCAATGTGACAAGGGCCTGCTTGCTTAAACCAGTTTTGAAACGGGGGAACTGTTTCTCAAAATCGGAGTCCCATTTGGGACTCGGGGGATCCAACCACAAGGCGTGTGGTCCTTAGTTTTAAGAAACACCCAAGAAACCCACAGGGGTCGGGATGAGTCCGACGCGCTCCTTCACTTCCAACTCCTCCTCGGGCTCCTTGTACCTGGGCCAATGTTCGAACTTGAGCCTGGGATTGAAATCTTTACTCCCATCATCATGTCAGCAAACTCACCGGCGGAACCACACGAACAATCAGTATAACCACCGTGCTTACTAAATAGAAACCGCATTGGGCTGCCATAAACCCATGGTTCTTTGTTTTACATGTTGTGGTTGCTTTGCTTACCCCCCCACAAAAAAAAAAAAAAAAAAAAAAAAAAAAAAAAAAAAAAAACGATGTACCGCACGTTGGTCGCGGGTGCAGCGTGCGCCAGTTCGCCGTCTTCATGAGGCTGGCCAGCTGGCGCCCGTTCTCGCTGGGCTCCGGCCCACGCTTCAGGTCCACGGCTGAGCGCAGGTTGCCGCCCACCTGGCGCCGGAAAACGCCAGCGGTGGGCACCCCAAGCACTCCTAATAGACCTTACCGGGGATGGTTACCACGAATCCATTTCGCACCCCGAAATTGATTCCATGGTTGAAACCATAAGGTTTGTGGGCATTTGCATGGGATTTATTAGAAACCAGGGTTTCTCAAGTGGTGCAGGAGTTCGTCCATCCGCTGCGTTACCCATCAAATAGACGCCTATTAGTCCTTATTGGGGTTGGGGGGCCCCTTTGCTGGGGGGGGGGCCGAACAACCATGGGGACTTGTGTGTTTGATCTATTCAGGTTGAAACCTTGGGGAGTGAACCAAGATTGGCTAGTGGGGTAAGAGGGGAACCTATGTACCTACCCAGTAGGCTATGACCTTGGTTGTAAGTAGGTAAGTGGGGAGGGGTTACAAAGCTTGGCTGTTTGCTGATTTGATTATAAGTGGGTGGGGGCTAGCTTAGTAGGCGCGGCGATATACTTGACAATGTATGGGTAGGTGTTCGCTGAGTTGGTTGCCAATGTGGCTGCAAGTGGAAAACCAGGTTAAGTCCTCGCATACTACTTGCTAAGTCTAAGATGGCACCCCCCCTCAAAGCCGCAGCCACCGCGACCCAGCTGTGAAAGATGAGATAAATATAGATAATGACAACCACCACATCGCCACTATAAAAGGCCTGGGTATTCAACCTGCTTGGGGAATTCCACTTTCCTGTGGCCAAACGGCAGCCTCTTGCGGGACACCCTACGGCACTATGACCGAATCCTGAAAGTTGCCCCGCGACCGACGCGTGCCAAAGAGGGACCCCTGCAAATGATTGGCTTCTTGTGGGTGCGGGTGTGTCAAAAGCGGACCATTTTGCTTGGTTAGTTTTTCTTTACTGATACCCCAAAAATGGCGGCCTCGAAAAACACACATCCTTTTTAAGTTCCCAAGCCGACCCGTCAATTTCGCAATGCTCAGAAAGTACCCCTCCCCCCCCCCACATGGACTAGGGCGCAGAAGACCATGTTCCTGCCAACGGGACCTTCTAGATACATGCTGGTGGGCGATGCACCAAAGATGTGGCAGCGACACCTCAGAAGCTCTGACTGTCATGTTTTGTACCTGCGGATTCAGTGGGGGTGGTCTTTCGCGGAGAAGCCCACCTATCCTTTTTTGGTCAGGGGTTGAAAAGAAAACAAACGGGAAGCCGCCTACAACGAGTTCAAAGAAAGCCGACAGGAACCACCTAGTTTTAAGGTCCGTTCAACCGGGCTCTTTGAAGGATAAATTCAAAAACCACCTACTTTAGAAGTTTGTTTTTCCCCAATGATACACATCAATGCCTTTGAGATGCTTCTAGCCCCATTCAGGGTCCCCTTTTTAGCTGTTTTTGTTTGGTGAGCTTGCCAAAAAATACATACCCCAGGCAACTCCTAATGTTGAACAAAAACATCTCACTGACAACGTGACATGTGTGTGTGTGTGTCAAAAGCGTGAACACCCCAAAAATGAGGGGTGTCCCTGGTTACCCTGCATACACACACCCCGAATATATATATATATATATTTATCCATATATGTATACATACAAACGCGCACACACACACACAGATATATATATATATACATGTATATGTACACCAATACATGTGTATGTGCATTGCAACCTCCAAAGGCCACGCCTTGAAGCCCAGGGTGGTCTTCCGCGCATTGCCCTCGAAGCCCTTGGGCTTCTCCATGCCCAGCCTCGCGCAGGGTGGGGGGGGGTTCGAACCTGGACCGACCCATGGCGCTTCTGGGGGGCCAAGCTTAGGGGTTTCCCCAATTGGTTTAAATAAAAAAAGGCCGGGAGCCCTGTAAAAGATTGCGTTGTGACCTACGCTGTCAGCCTAACTAGCATTTTCCTGAATATTTAGTTTTATGTTTTCATTACGATGTTTTGTCGATTCGGATTTACGATTTCAATACGACTCCTGTAACATGTATGTTCTTGTACTAAAATCGTATTAGAAACCGTATTCAAATTGTATTGAAATCGTATTAAAATCGCAAAAATACGGTTTTAATACAAATTTAATACGATTTCAATACGATTTTAATACGATTTCCATTAGTTTACTTTTTTTTGTTGAAACGAATTCCAATTTCCTGATCCCATATCAATCATATCAAAATCGTATCTAAATCGCACAAAACAAATAACTGGGCTTCCCGTGACTTAGCCTACACCGTGGGTCACAAAGATTGCGCTTGGCGGAAAACTGGCAGCGCCAAAATGGGTGAGAAAAACGGCCCATTTCGGTCAGCTTGGCTTTTGGCTGGGCGGCTTGTAAAGCCCCGGCAGGCTGATGGACTTGCTGAGCTTCGCCGTCATCGCCCCGAAACGCGCGTGGCTGTGTGGCTGGTGGCTGGTAAAACCGCAACGGCTGCGGTTAAGCCTGGCAAGTGACGCCTGCCAAGAAATATGGTTTGGTGCAAAGGCGCCTTTGCGAGGAACGCAGTCTTCCCAAACCCTCATGTCAGCCACAATCCCCAAGCACGGGGAAGGCGCTCTTTGGTTAGTTGGGGTACTTCACTCTCCCTGGCGTCCGGCTTGGCAGGCAGATTCTTGGCCCCCTCGAGCACGCGCAAGAACTCCCTTGCTGAAACCTGGCTTTCCACTTTCCACCTACTGCCTGGGGCTGGTCAAGATTCCTTGAACCGCCGCAGGCCGACTGCCACATCCCTGCTTCGCAGGGAGCGAACCCAGGCGCCTAGATGTTGAAGAGCTCAGCCTCCTGCGTCCATCGATCTAAGCACCCGGGAGTGAAATACAGCCCTGGCACCCAAGCGAAACCGCACATCTCCATGCCCCAGTTGTCCAAAAAGCTCTTTGTTTCGTGAAATTCTCCCAACAGCACCCTGGAGCCAAAAGCCGCACGCGTCAGGCAAAACGGCCCGCGCAGAAGAAAGCCACTGAAAACGATTCGGCCCAGCCCCGGCTCCGCCGGGGCCGGGGGGCCGGCCGGCCCCGCTCACAGCCCAGCGCATTTCAGCACCTGCCAGGGTTGCGCAGGGTCTGCGTACTTTTCCGCTTGAAGGGCCTGCGTACTTAGAAACTGGGAAGTAAGCATGGTTCTGACCTACCTAGCGGACTTGCAACCATGCTAAGTCGGTGGTAACCAGCGTTGCGGACCACTGACGAAGTACAACGCGCCATGAAGTGTGATGCAACAGTTAGTGGCTCATGCCGCTGCGCAACTCAAGGGGTTGGCTTTCCCTGCAACCATGCCTCCGGCCCGATGATCCGAGGGGAGCCGTCCTCCGTCTCCGCAGCAACGCCGAAAGAACGCAAGAGGGTCACCACCTCGGGCGATGTTACTTGGTCCATTAAAGTGACAGGTTCTTTGGTGCCAATGCTGCCTTCAAAATGGAAGCACGCATGGTGCCGCTGTTTTGCTATGAATGCAAAAAGCCTGGGGTGCTTTGATACCGGCTGACCCAGAAGTAATTTCAGAAACTGAATGTTAGCTATGAAATGGTTCTAAGGGTCCTCCCCTCCCCTGCTGGGTACCTCACAAGATGCTCACTGTCAGGGACCCGGCATGAACTACCCCATAAACTTGCTGGCCTCATCACTTTACCTGTGGTAGGTTGAAAGGAAGCAACCCCGAGCTTTTCCACCTATGGGCATGGGACAGTCACAGTATGCTCCTCTGAAGGTCATGGGAAAGTTAGGATGACCCCCTCTTTTTCCGCTATGTTATTGAAATATGTTGACATGGGGTGAGCCCCCTCCACGTCCCAAACCCCAACTGACCAATAGACACAGCATGAATGCACCTCGTGGACTAATGCGGGGGGGGGGGGGTGGGGGAGCAAAAGTGCTCCGGATCCCTAGCCCTATCCATCAGAAGGTTGAATCAACGTTGCCATGAGCAGATCCTTCATTCTTGGTGTTGGCTGTCACGGGAGGCCAAATGCAAAACGGATCCATCAGTTAATTTGGTATGTGTCAAAATACGGGGACTCCCAAACACCGTAATGTTCCTCTGGGCGTCCCTTTGAACCACGACAAGGCAACCCTCAAAACCAAAAACTGGCGATGTGTCAACCTTTGGGGCCATTTTTCCGTCTCCCCTTCCTCCAAACGGCTGGCAGGCGGCCCCCGCGCAAACCCACCTCAGCCTTCGCAGCAAAGCCGTTCGCGCCTCGTGGTCCACCAAGTGCACGCCCGCCTGCTGCGCCAGCTCCTGGATCGTTGGGGAAACGGTTTTGGGTGGAAATGGCGACGCATCCTGAGGAGCCTTTTGGAGTAGCCCAATATTGCTGGGTTCCGTGTGCATCATTTTCAGAGTCGACAGGGAGTGGTTCTTTGCCTCAAATGCATGTGGTAAACTTTGCAGGCTGAGAGCTGGTTGATGCCCGGAGCATGTTAACAGGGAACTACAAAGAGGCTTCTCGCCCTTTAATTAGCTGGATTACAGCCCCGTTTTGCAAGAAGCATCCAACCCGAAATGGAGGAGCCAGTTTGCAAGTGGCAAACACAACCCCCTCCTTGGACAAATATGAAACAAGGCATGCAATTGTATCATATTCCCGTTCTGGTCCTGTTTCGCGACGAACAAAAAGAAACCATTTGCAGTCACCTTACCCCTAAGGTTGGTTTGATTGCTTAGATGCTAGGGGTCGCCTTCTCCATTGCTTTCACAAGAACCTGGGTTCATTCAAATCCCATTACCAATCCAGGCCACGAGTGAAGGGGTACCTGGACGTCATTCCAAACATTTGTCGTGAGGGGGTTCAAGTTCCAATCATGGTCCGGAGATATATACAAATATAGGTGTATACATACAAAGGCTGTCCGAATTTTGCCCCCCACCCCCCTAATGTTGACCTCATATAAATAAACCAGTTTATGAATTGGCGGGGTGTTCCCCTCCAAAAATGATGAATCCCCACCCCAAAAAAAAAGCAAAAAGAAAAAGAGGACACCCCATATCAATAACCAGGCGTTACAACCTTCCCTCATGGAAAAAACCCAACGCCGCCGCTGCAGCGCGCTGGCTCCGGCTCCTTGAGGCGCTCCGGCTCCAGCCCCTCCTCCGCCCGCATCTCCGGCTGGTTGGCCAACACCGCCACGCGCAAGGCGCAAGCCCGGCAGTCGGCGTAGGGGAACTCCGAGGCCCGGGCCTCCGCCCGCGCACCGATAGCGGTCTCCGTCCCCAAAAATGAAAAAAGTGGGGGGATTCCTTTTTTTTATGGTTGTGGTTGTCGTGGTTGTGATGGTGGCAGTGGCCGAATGAGTTTCTGACTTGCCAGGACCCGGAAATGAAGGGTTAACCGTTTGGGCCAGTTCAAAAAGATGGTCAAAAGCTCGGATTTGGACAACTGGTCGGCTTTCTGGGAGCGACTTGTTCGAGGTGACTCTAAAAGTTGGCAGGGTTTTCGGGTGGCCGCCTGCCTGGCATGTGGCGGGAAAACTGACCGGAATAGCTTTGGGGGGACACGGTCCTGATGGCCCGCTGGACGGGCTGTGGGATTTTTTTAGAGGCCACGGCTGAGGAGAAGCACGATGCTGCTCGACAGTATAAGATCTGGCCGCATGTACCACCGGTACTGCTCACGCCGGGCTGTGGAGACCACAAGAAGTCTGGCTAGAGGACACGGCTGCCCTTTGCAAGCCATCGGCACCCGTCTAGAACCTGCTTAGAGGTTTGCCAAGCGAGGTCGAAGTGCCTCCGATCTCCTTTGAACCACCCCGCAAAAAGCGGCGCGCCTAGTTGTCTGGTCCAGGTTTGCAGTTGGTTTCTGTCGGCATCCATCCACAAACAAAGAAACACCAATAGTTGGTTCCGCCAGCCCAGGCGAGCCAAGTTATGCAATTAAAGTTCTACGCAGGTTTGCGCACACGTGCGTATGCATGTTTCTCAAACGGGTGGACTCCCGTCTGGCTGGGCTGCCAACCAGAAGACGGGAAGCAACATTTTGAGAGACACGCCTATATATATATATATCGCCCATGGCACCTACCATCTGACTGCCGTAAAACGTGGAACCCCCGTGGCCTCGAGGTACTGCAGGCAATGCTCATCCGCTCGCGTAATGAGCAGCGGCTGCGCCGCAATGGTCACAACCTGGCCCACAAACAAGTCCTCGGATCGCGAGTTCCGCCAGAGTCAAAAGCAGTCGCGCCAGTGCGACTTCGGAAGAAGAAAGCCGTGGTTTCGGGTCGCTTGGGGGAAGTTTGGTGCTGCCAAATGTTCAAAACAAGTTGTGCAGTGCCACCGTGCAGCTGCACAAGAAGTTCCGCCAGACTGAGTGAGATGCCGAGCAGCTGTGAGCTTGAAATAGGCGCCGGTGTCAGGGTTCTTGATGCGGCGCTTGTCAGCAAACTTGCCGCCCATGTGGCCACTGTTGCGCACAGTCACCTCAGTGTACCCAGTCTGCCCACGCCAAGCAGGGCCAGAGGCACTCAAGCGACTTGCCTATGGCCCGCAAGGCAAAAGCATCTGGATTGAAACAACCTGCCTCCATAGCCAGTGGCTTAGAGCTTCCCTATCCCGACAAAGTAGTCCGGCCAGACTTAGACCCTTGCCTCAAACACGGCGACCTCATCATCCGCCGGGTAGTATGCAATGACCAAACGACGCAGCTCATCTTCAGGCTCTCCGTTCCTCGGGTCGGCACGTGCAGAGTCTGGCACAAGTGCGTCATGCAATTGCATGGGTGATATTTCAGGACGGGCGTCATCATCCTGCACTCGAACCTTAGGACCTCTCCCGTGTAGACCATCAACTTTTCCAAGTCTTTCTTTGGAGGCTTCGGCTGGACCATCTGGCAATTGATCAAGGAATCCTGGCAGATTTCGGCACTAGGCCCCTCTTAGTTAAAAAACGTACACATACCATAGTTGTTTTCAACCTTTCAAACAACCTCCTTGTGGCTCCCCTTTTCAGGGGCGCCAGTGGCCCGTCTTTGCTCCAATTTCCGTTTTCCCGGCGCCTCCTCGCGGCCGACGCCGGTGTGAGGCGGCGGCAGCAGCTTCAAGTGGGTCAACGGCTTCTCGCTGACATCGAGCTTCCCCTAGCCGACAGCTTTCCCGCAGATCGAAAAGGCGGCTCTCGTCGCGTCCGTTGGGAGGGTCAAAAAAAGTACCTGTCTGTTCCACTAACATGGATAGACTATTCTCCTTTCAAAGGGACCCTGTGGTGAGTTCCATCTTTGTGGACAGGAGGGTATATACCCTCCTTTTTGCTGGTTTTGAAGGCGTACCAAAAGCAACCACCACTTTGGGGGTGCCCTGAAACAAAAGACACACCCATCTGCAACCAAAGCCGCATAAACCAAGTTGGGCTTAACGGGAATATTCGCTCACAGTAGCAACTATACAGAAGGCTTATACCCCGTGCGTCGTCACGGGTAGTTGTTTCGGGGCCAACCAACTGCCATCTGAGAAGCACGCAGACTTGCAGTTGCAAACAAAGCTGCGCCATGCGCTGCTACAAAGCACACGGCCTCCTTCTGATCAATCTCCAGGTACTCCCTGTAGAACTTCTCCGTCGCATCATCGCCTCAAATCCCCCCATCTCCTGCCTGCAGCTTCCCGAATTGCCTGGCGCCCCTGCAAAACTGGCTGGTGAATGTCCCGGTTCAACCAAGGCATACCACGGTGAGCCAAGTGGCAGTCGTAGAGCACCAGCTTGCGCCCCCAAACATGCATGACATCTCCCACTCGCAAGTCTTCTGGGTAGTAGATCTGGCCCTCTGCTGCCAGCAAGCCTCACAGCCATGCAAGAGAACGGGCTGAGAGAAAAAGAAAAAAACAAAAGCGACTGTTGAACTGGCCCAGATGCATCCTTTAGGGACCCCCAAAAGGCCTTTCTCAATCGGCCCCTAAGAAATAATGACCCTTGGCACCAGCCTGGCACAGCCAGCACCTCATTCTTCCTCGTCAGCGGCCCTCTTTTCATGAAGACCTGGGTAAGGGCGCAGTCCATTGCAAAATCAGGCCAGTTGGACCTGATGGGGGTTTGGTGGGGGGGTTGTCCTAAAACCCCACGCGAGGCGGCGTCATTCGGTTCAGGCTTCTTCCACCTGGCTGTGGGTCAACAAAAAGGCTAACCCCGCGCTGCGCAGCAGCTCGCTCGGAGCGAAAATCTTCTGAGACCTCGGCCGGGTAAGGGTCGCGCCCCGAGTTCCGGCTGTTGGCCATGTTGATCTCCACAGTGTTGTCGGCCAGGAAGTAGTGGACGATGAAATAGAGCCGAGCCCCGTACCTCGGGGCCAGAGTTTTGCGCTCATGGGCCTCACCCACCTCAGAGAAAGCAGTGGGTGAGGCCAAGCCTTGAGGGCAGGGCCAGGTTGCCACCCCGGAACCCCCCGCAAATGCCAGGTCGCGGGGTGTGATCGTCCCAGTAGGCCTTGAACTTGAGCACCTTCCTTGGAAATGGCTTCGACGAAAACGCCGAAGTTGCACGCCCTGGTTGGTCCTAAATAGGATATGGACCCCCGGTGGGGGGGGGGGGTCTCCTAAAACAATCCAACAAGAGAACTCTTAAAGACTTGACACACCCAGCGGCCTGTCGTTGAGCAAGAACTGGGAGAACTTCATGTTCGAGGGCGGCTGGCCGCTCATGAACTTGGCCAACTGCTTTGCCTCAAGTGGCCCATCCAGCAGACACCTACTGGGATGGACGAAATCCATTCCAAATCCATTTCGCACCACCATTCAGAAACCCTGGCAGGACTTGTTAATGTAAATGCCAACAAGGAAGGATGTGTCCCATGGTTTTGGTACAGGATTCTGTCCATCCACAGCAGGAACCCAGAATTCATGAACGCCTGATTCAGGCCCAGCTGACGGGTGTACACAAACGCTCAAAACGCCTTGTGGGCCATGTCGCAGCTCCCTTAGGAAATCTCTTCTTGGTTGTCAAACATCCCAGATCAGGGGGTGCATCCCTACCAGTCCCCAGCCAGGTCTTTGTTGACTATGACACAGTATGACACATATCGGCCATACGCATGGGTGTGTGCGTTTGCAGGTACCCTTTTTAGTGGTGTCCAAAAAGAGAGAAAAAACACGAGTCCATTTTTGGAGTCGCCCAATTTTGACCCATACGCACCAGCGGCGTAAAATGAGGACCGCGTCATCGGCATGCCGCCCTGTTCGGTGGTCGCACGGAGCTTGGCTGTTCTCGTCCACTTGTCCTCCGGGATCGTCTCGTCCTCTGGCACTTCCAAGCCATTTTGCCTTAGACCGAGGCATAAGATACATGCGGGAAGTTTCTCAACATGGTGAACCTTTTTTTGGTGGGTACTCAGGGGAAAGCCAAAGAGAAGCAAAAGGAAAACAAGCACCCAAAAAGCGAGAAGTGGCGCTTGTCTTTTGGCCACCCTAAGGACTTAACTCCCAGAGGCCCAATGCTGATACGCTAACTTTCCCGCATCCCTCTTAGGCGCCGACTCAAGAAACCAACGCGTAAACCTGTCGCAGCCGTTGATGTGGATGGTGCGGCCATGGATGGTGATCTCACTCCCCACACGGAGGTCGTCTGGGCCGATGTAGGCAAGGCCGTCTTCTCGCATGGTCTTCTGCCTCTTCAAGAAGGTGCCCTGGGGAAGACCTGAATTCTTGGTCTTGGGCTCGGTCATGCTCAGAGACCCATCCTCCATGTGATACATGATGTTCACATGCCGGTAGCGGCTGTTCTCTATTGGGTGCTCCGTCACTGTCTCTTGGAAAAAGCCGTAGAAGCGCAAGACCTGGCCCAGAGTCTCAGACCTTGACAGCAAGCCTCTTGCCCAATGAGTGCCGCATGGTAGAGATAAGTCTAGCTTCACCGCCAATAGCAAGGTGAACCCGACTCAGGGGGACTTAGAAGTGGGCTATACGCCAGGTTACTAATAACTCACAAACTTGGCAACAAACACCCAAGTACCTGTTTGGCTTGGTGATTTGAATTTGAATTCCTTCGTGTTTAGGCTACATGAGACGTTAATGCCCAAGTTCCAAGCCCAATTCACGAGAAGCTGCACTTACCTCAACTGAACATATGAGCGTTTTTGTTTGAGGGCACCCGTTGTGGGTTGGCTCAAAGGGGCACCACTTAGCTTGAGTTCCGGCAAACAGACAAACCCATATCTCCAAAACTGTTGTGAATGGTTTCAGGATTGTCATATGCGCATGTTCTCCAGGACGAATGTGGCTGGGGATTTTTCGTTTGTGGGGGCTACCACTAGGACCTTGCACTGTTTGCGCTCGGTTTCTTAAGTCTACACCCTCCGAGACATGTGAAGAGAGCAATTAGTTTATCGCACACACACACACAAAACCCTACTCATGGCTCCGGGACGTCAACGTAAAGGACTACACAGAGATGATTGGTACACTGGCCGTAAGACTATGGGAAGACTACGGGACCGCTATGGGAAGACAATTGGAAGACTACAGGAAGTTGCGTGGACGACAATAGCTCAAAACACTGACAGCCGAAGAGCAGGATAAAAGAGGCGACAAAGATTAAAAGGGAACTTTTACTTTGCCACGTTTTTTGACCCCCTCATGCCTGGACGTCTTGCCCCGGCCTGCTTGTCGTGCTTCATCCAGGCGGGCGCTTCCCTTGGCTGTCGCATATTCGCGTGGACAATCTCCTGGGCGGCACGCATCAAACAATCAGAACCGTGTCTCGGAGTGCTGTTTGCTCACTGACTTGATTAAGAAGGTAGAAGTGAGGTAAACAGAATTGCCTCCCCCTCCCCTTCCCCCGGCCCCCTTCCCCCCCAACGAACCCCTCAAAATGTGACAACTTTAAGGAGCCCGGCATTTTCAAGTTTCCTCTTAAAATAACTCCAAAAACAACCCCCTCTTCCCAACAAATGACGCCTGTGTGTTTCAGGGACCCAAACCACACGCCTCCTCGCTCAGCGGTGGTTCCTTTGGCTGCTCGGTGTGCACCATGCGCCAGCCTGAGAGAACTGGCGCAAGCGCGCAGGCAGCCACTTGCTTGGGGGACCCACTTTCGACTTCCACAACGCAGCATACGAGGCTACCGTGGATGGACGAGATCCATTTCGCACCACCTAAGGAACCCTAGAATGATGTTTTCCTTGCAAATACCAACAAACATGGTGTCCCATGGTTTTAAAAGGGTGCGAAATGGAGTTTGTCCACCCACAGTAGCAACAATTTTGAGGCTGGGAACCCCTGCCCTCTTGCCAGAAAACCTTTGTGTGTCTCCTAGTTTTAACCCAAACCAAACCAACCATTTGGAGGCCCCACCTTCAGTTTCAACCCTAAGCCGGGGGCCTGCAGTCTTGAGCAGCCCCGCGATCTCCCTACCTTCCGCAGACGGCACGGGTCCTGCCGACAGCGCGCGGTCGCATCGCTTTGGGCGCGATGTCCGCAAACCCCCGGTTCCCCGTTTAGTGCCCTAGGTTTTAGGCACTAACTCGCCGACGATTTGCAGGGTGAACCGTCTTTTATGTGGATTTAGAGACCCCTTGGACATCAATCCCAAATTCCCCCCCAACCCACATTTGAGAGGGTTACCTATTGAAGTCCACTGTGGGTACGTGAAGGGGGTTCGACCAAGTGGAATTCTTCGTCTTCAGCCCCATATCCATGCCCAGAGGTGCTAGTTTGCCTGACCTCGTGCTTGTGAAATGGACTGACAATCGATTTCACAGTGGTTGGACCCTGTAGTCCTTTACTCACATGGGGATTTAGTTCTGTCTGCCAACCATCGGCAAGACCCTTTGGTGGACATCATGGGGATTTGTCTTTTTGAGGAGGGGTTCCAACTACTTGACTTTGTCTCAAAATAGAGGATCCCCAAAAATGATTGACTCCCTGCTGGTGGGCTTAAACGTGGAGGGGGAGGGTGCCAACCCCAAAAAGCCACCCCCATCCGGCGAGCTTCTTCGCTCTCCTTTCTTCTTGTCCACTGCTGATGCTAGGTCTCCACCCACCGTGAAGCCAAGCGTTGCCTAAGCTTCAGCGCGCAGCAGGTGAGCTTCGGGTGACCAGCAAGCAAGCCAGCAACCGGCCAACCAATCAGCCAGGGAACCAGACCTCACGGGCAAAAAACAGAACCAAGACCAAAAAATCTGGACGCTGCCCTTTCCACAGTTTCGGTCAATGAGAAACCCTCTGCAGTTGTTTGGTAGCATCCTTTCAAAAACTGAAACCAGTGGAACCCATGGGATTTCTTTCACCTGACCTCAGGGCCGCTCTCCAACCGCCCCGCCTTCTTGTGGTGCCCATGAAGCTTGGGCTGTTCGGTGCCCATCTTCCAAAGGCCTGTGTTGCTTGGCTGGCCATGCCGGCCGATGTCAGCGGCTGCGACATTTGCAAGTGACAAAAGACCTGGGCTTGCCTAAGACATGCTACCCCAAGAATGGGGGGGAGGTCCTTTTGGCTTCCCTCCCAACCAACGGCCAAAACGGGTACGTTTTCGAAAAATAAGAGACCCGCATGTGTACTCGCACGGTGCGGTGGAAGTGTTCCCCTTGGCCGCTTGCCAGAAAGACTCCTTCAATAGCACCCTAGGCCACGCAGTTGAGCACCCCGGCAGTTGAGCAAACAAATGTTGACCCCAGATTCATGAACCCCTGGTTGATTACTCGGGGGGGTGCCCCTTCTAGTGGAGAACCATCCCTTCCGGAGGGAACACCTAATCATAGGACAGGAGTTTATCAATCCGGGGTCAACGTTACCCAACTTGCAGTGACAACCGGCCGCCAGGTGAATCTGTTGCCCACCGAAGGCCAGGGTGATTCAGCCAGCTTCAAAGAGCTCAGACGTGCGAAGGCCCCGAAAGCCCCTCCGAGCGAATGAACCCTCCGGAACTTGCCGGAACCCTCTCCGCAAGCCGATCCAAACCCCAGAGCAAGTTGGGGCCCAGCTCTAAGCTTTCAACTGGAAGGCAAGAAACAGAGGTAACGTTGACTTGAGGAGCGGGTGAACGAAAGCTAGCAGTTGTTGCATGAGATGGGTCGGTGACAGAGTGGATTCATAGGTAGCTTGTGTACAACGAGAGGCCCGGCAAGATTCGTAGGATGCGACACGCAAACGCACATGGTGGCGTGGCAAACCTTGAAAAATGAAAACAACGAGAGGCGTCAGAAGCTGTCTTAAAGCACCTCTGGGTTCTGCATGCTGCGTGTGCAAAGATTCTTGCGAGGTGGTTTACCGAGAAGACTGAGGTCTCAAATGAACAAGCTGAATCGGTGGAACATGTAAAAGTTCGTAGCACCAAGTCCAAAACGGGCAAACCGAGACTGCTGAACACTGAGCCACTGCCCGGGGGGGGGGGGATGGACCAGGGAGGAATCGAGCCTGAGACCCGGGGGGGGGGGGGTGGCAGGGAAGATTAGGTCCTATGTGGCGTGCGCGCGCGGGATGATTGTTTCCCCAAAAGTGGTACGCGCGGGGGGGATGTTTCCCTCACTCATGATACACACACACACACACGCGCGCACGCACGCACGCACGCGCGCAAGCACGCACGCACGCACGCACGCACGCACGCAAACACAAGCAGAGAGAGAGAGAGAGAGAGAGAGAAACTGAGAGCACAAAGGGCACTCAAACAGAGTGTCAAGCAATACACACACACACACACACCAAGTACACTAACACAAACAAAACACCCTTTTTCTTTTTAATTTTCGAATCATTCTAGAAACTCCCAAAGGGGCAGGGGACTGTTGGGGAATTCCGAAACAATTTCTTCTAGCTCATTGAAATTTATACTTGTTCTTTAATTACCCAAGGGACGGGCGCGCTCTGGGGAATTCCAGGTGCATTGTCCTAATTCTTACAGCTATTCTGATTGTTGCATATTTTTCACCAAGGGACGGGTGCCCTTTGGCGAATTCCAGATTCACGTGTTTTCGAATCATTCTACGTGATTTTATATTTATTCGCAAAGGGCGGGTGCATTTTGGGTCAAATGTGTTCGAGTTAGTCTACTTCTCATAGCAATCATCACTCTCTGATGTATTCCCACAGGAGGGTACCTTTTGGGGAAATCAACATTCATGGTTGATCTAATTATTTTACTCATTCTAACAACTTAAGCAAATCTAAGGATTCTCGTTGTTTTCAAGCCATTTGGTGAAGTCCAGTGTGGTTTCCAGGTCATTCTGTTCTGATTATTCTGGTTGTAGCACGCATTCCCAACGGCACGGGGCCCCTTGTCGGGAATCCGCCCCTAATTAGTTCCTTTGTTCTAGCTATTCCCAAGGAACGGGTGACTGGTGCCTTTTCGGAAATCCCAATTCCAGATTCATGTGTGTTTCAACTATAGTATTCTAACTAATCAACTTATTCTCATTCTAATCATTCCCAAAGGGGCGGGTGTGTCTTGTGGAATTCAAGATCCATGTTTGCCAGCTATTCTACTTATCATAACTATATTACTTGTTCTAATTATTATAATTCTTCCCAGAGGGACGGGTTGCTTTTGGAGAATTCCAAACCCATCTTTGTCCTACTGTCTTAATTATTGGGTATGCTTCCCCACAAAATTACAATTATTCTCATTTCTATACTTATTGCGAAAGGGGCGGGTGCCTTTGGGGGAACTCCAGATTTATGTTTGTGCTAATTATTTGAACTAATCTAAGTATTCTACTTCTTCCAAAAAGTGGGGTGCCTTTTGATGAATTCCAGATTCATGTTTTCTAACTATTCTACTTATCATAACTCTTCTAATTCTCATCATTATTCCCAAAGGGACGGGTGACTTTTGGGGAATTCAAGAGGTCTGATTGCTAAGTATTCTACTTATCATAATCATTCTATATTATTCTAATTGAATCCCTAGGGAGCTGGGGTGCGTCTTGGGGAATTCCAAGCTCGTGTTTGCCCTGGGTAGGATAATTGTGTCAAAAGGGATGGGGCCTGTTGGTGGCGAGATTCGTGGTTCCCGCATTGTTGAAACTATTCGAGCCATTCCCAAATGAGCAGCTCCCACTTAGTAAGTTCTAGATTATTTCCCTATTTTCTATTTGGTCCCAAACAGGAAGGTGCCGTTTAGTGAGTTCAAGATTCACGTTTGCTGATTAGTCTACTTATCATCAGTCTTGTAAAATACTACTATCATTATTATTTACAAGGGACGGGCACCTTTGTTGTTCTAGGTACAACAATTACTACACAAGAGGTGGGTGCCTTGTACGTCTTCCCATTATTCTTGTCATTCGCAAAGGGGGGGGTGCTTGCGAGGAATTCCAGATTCTTGCTTTTTCCAATTCTTTATTCTCCAAATTGGGGAACTTTCAGATTCATTGTTTCTCTAACTACTCTACGTACAATATGTTCTGTTCTTGGGCGTGCCCAAATTATTCCAATTATTCCCAACGGGACGGGTCCCTTTTGAGGAATTGCAGATTCATTTTCTAGTCTAGCACATCTACTCATGAACTTATTATAATCATTCTTCCCAAAGGGACGGGTGCCTTTAGGGAATCTCCAGATTCATGTTTGTTCTAATCTTTCTAGTTCTTCTAAATGTTCTGTTGTTTCTTATTATTCCCAAGGGGGCGGGTGCCTTTGAGGAATTGAAGATTCATGTTTTGCATACTAGCCTACTTATCATCGCCATGATTTCTCCTTATTCCAAGAGAGGCGTGCGCCTTTTGGGGAATTCCAGGTTCATAGTTTTTTTGTTTTTTTTCTTTCTGTTGATTCTACTTCTGATATACTTTTCTCATGATTATTCGCATTCCCAAAAAGACGGGAATTCCAGGCTCTTGTTTTTGCAACTGGTCATTCCCAAATTTGGGGGAAATTCTGATTCATGGTCTCTCTCTTATTCAACTTCAGGTGTTTTGGAACTACCCGCATTGTCCAAGTATCGCCAACGGGGCGGCCCTTTTGAGGAGTTCCAGATTCATTGTCTGCTACACTATTCTACTTCTTATGATCAGTCTTCTCAAAGGGACAGGTGCCTTCTGGGAATCTCCAGGTTCATGTGTGTTCAATTATTCTAGTTGTTCTAACTGCTCTAATTTTCTAATTACTCCCACAGGGACAGGTGCCCTTGAAAAATTGAACATTCATGCTTGGGAAATGTTGTTTACTCATCGTAGCTGTTATAATGATTATTCTTATTCCCAGAGGGACAGGTGCCTTTTGTTGAGCTCCAGAATCATGTTTGTTTTTCCAATGTTTTTAATGATTCTAGTTCTGATAACTGCTCTATTTATTCTTGGCATTCCCAAAGGGACAGGTGCCTGTGGGGAATTCCAGATTCTTGTTTTTCAATTTCTTCATTCCTCAAATTGGGGAATTTCAGACTCATAGTATCTCTAATCCTTCTACTTCAGATATTTTCTGTTTTTGGAAGTACCCAGATTATTTCAATTCTGCCCAACGGGACGGGTCCCTTTTGAGGAATTCCAGATTCAATCTACTCATGAACTTATTATAATCATTCTTCCCAAAGGGACGGGTGCTTTAGGGAATCTCCAGATTCATGTTTGTTCTAATCTTTCTAGTTATTCTACATGTTCTGTTGTTTCTTATTATTCCCAAGGGGGCGGGCCTTTGAGGAATTGAAGATTCATGTTTTGCATATTAGCCTACTTATCATCGCCATGATTTTCTCCTTATTCCAAGAGAGGCGGGCGCCTTTGGGGGGATTCCGGTTCATTGCTTTTTTCTATTGATTCTGCTTCTTGTTCTGATCATTCTCATTCCCAAAGGGACGGGAATTCCAGGCTCTTGTTTTTGCAACTGGTCATTCCCAAATTTGCGGACATTTGGGGAAATTCGGATTACTACCCGCGTTTCCAATTATTGCCAACGGGGCGGGTCCCTTCTACTTCTTATGATCAGTCTTCTCAAAGGAACAAGTGCCTTCTGGGAATCTCCAGGTTCATGTGTGTTCAATTATTCTGGTTATTCTAACTGCTCTAATTTTCTAATTACTCCCACAGGGACGGGTGCCCTTGGGAAATTGAAAATTCATGTTTGGGAAATGTTGTCTACTCATCGTAGCTATTATAATGATTGTTCTTATTCCGAGAGGGGCAGGTGCCTTTTTCAATGTTTTTAGTGATTCTACTTCTGATAACTGCTCTATTTATTATTGTCATTCCCAAAGGGACAGGTGCTTGTGGGGAGTTCCAGATTCTTGTTTTTCAATTTCTTCATTCCTCAAATTGGGGAATTTCAGACTCATAGTATCTCTAATCCTTCTACTTCAGATATTTTCTGTTTTTGGAAGTACCCGGATTATTTCAATTCTGCCCAACGGGACGTCCCTTTTGAGGAATTCCAGATTCATTTTC